TGCTCTAAGGTCTAGCTTGGTATAGATCCTTGCCTTCCTGAGTAAGAACAGCTGCTCCTCGATGAGGGGCAATGGTGCCCTATTCTTGACAGTGATCTCGTTGAGACCTCTGTAGTCCACACAGAGTCTGAGACCTCCATCCTTCTTTGGTACGAAGAGCACCGGTGATCGTGCCGGGCTCTTCGATGGTCTTATGAACCCCTTCTCGAGGTTCTCATCCAAGTACCTCCTCAACTCGGACATCTCCTTGGGTCCCTTAAGGTATAGGGGCCCTTGAGGTGGCTTCCCTCCTTCTATCAACTCGAGGTGGAGATCATGCTCGGTATGATGGGGCAGCTTGTCTGCTTCCACCTCATCAAACACATCTCGCAGGTGTTGGTATGGCTTTGGTATGTCTGCAGCCGTCGCCACCTTATCTACCTCCACCTCCATCTCGACTCCTTTGTCTGCGCCTGTAGGTACAAACCCAAAGGCCGGGAGTGATGATGGTGGCTCCTCTAACAGCATGAACCCTATGGGTCCATCTTCCAGAGCTGCTCGTAGTATGCGCTCTGCTGAGACAAACTCGTTACCATGAAGGGTTGGTCTCCTCATGGTTAGGTCCCCTGCTCTTGCTGCTTCAGGGGGTCTCCTAGGGGGTCGGTCCTGCTCCTGAGTCTTGAACTCCAGCTGGCCCGTATCCCATTGTATGGTGGGTTTGAGCCTCCGTAGCTCAGTGAACCCCAGGATGAGGTCATAGTCCGCAGTGTCGGCCACTGAAGCTTCGACCACACCCAGATTGTGTGTACCAATAGATACCTGCATGCTCGCAGAACTATTGATGGAGAGTTGGTGCCCGGTGACACCATGGATCGATCTTGTTTTTATGGGTTTTGTGGGTATTTGGTACTTACTAATGAAAGAATCTGAGACTATGGACAAACCAGCACCGGTATCAGCTAGTATCTGAGCAGGATGGTCTTGAACCATTCCAGAGAGCTCCAGTACTGCTTTGCCTCCACTGGTAGAGAAACATATTTGACAATCTTGATATATACAGAGTGATGGCGAGGAGGTTTGTAGAGCAATGCATGCCATCAGTGCATCACCCCACTGACATTTCCCTCATCGTCATCATCATCGTGCTCCTCCTCGTGATCGGGGTCCATGGGTGGCTGGTATGAGCTGAGGTCCATGGCCTCGGGGTCACCCGTCTCAGTGCTGTCTGTGTGGCCATCTCCTGAGTCGGTGGCCTCCTCGAAGGGGTCTGCTGTGGTGGCCATAACCTTTGGTCCCATGGGTCGAGAGCTAAGAGGGTCTACCCTCCTGCTGGGGCAGTCTCTGGCCCAATGGCCGATACCCTTGCATACATGACAGGTGTTGATACCTGATGGAGCAGGGCTTCCTTGCTTCGAGGGTTGGGTGGGTTGATGAGGAAGGGGTCGGTTTAGGTTTTGTGTAGTTGCTTGTGTAGTTACTTGTGCTGGTGATCAAGCTGGATAAGGTTGAGTGGGTTGTCGGATGGGGATCAAACTTTGATTTGGCCGAGACCCAGTTCTTAGTGAAGGTGATGTGGCATTTGGGAGTGAGTGTCTAGCCGAGGACTGCTGTAGTAGCATCCTCTGTCGATCGATCTCCTCAACCTCTCAGTACCACTCCCATCTCTTCCCAGGTGGATTCCTCTCGAACTTCTCCTGTATGCTACAAGTGAGACTACCTCTGAAGAGATCAATCACTAGCTCATTGTCATCTAGGTTGACCTGTCCTTCCAAGTCTCTGAACCGCTCTACATGACGTGTGGCGGCACCAGGAGCATCACTTGTGAGTCTGAGAGCCAACAGCTTGTTGTATGCCTCCATCCTAGCATTGCGTGGGTTGAACTGCTCTGACAGTCGCTCTGTGAAGTAGTGCCAATCATTGAACAACCTTCCTTCTCTAGCTCTATCAATACGGAGCTTGGAGGTCCACCACTCTCTTGCTGTCCCTTCCAGTTGAGCACCCATGTGATTGATCATCCTAGACTGCTCATACACCTGGTTGAACTTAAACCATGCTTCGGCTTCTAGAATGAAGATCTCCATGTCTCGGGGATTGAACTTTGGAAAGGGGGTGGCGATGGGCTTTGACCGGTTAAGCTCTGCCATGATGCTGGTATCCTCCTCGTGGTCCAGGGGGTAAGGGTCCGTCCTAGTCCTGCTGTAGGGGTCCAGCTTAGTCTTGACATATCTTGGCCCAGTAGGTGAAGCATACTTCTCATAGTTGATGTCCTCCTGCTCATCCAGGTTGAATGAGACTGATCGTCTTGATCGTGGAGCAGGAGTAGGAGTATGTGGGTCTCCTATCATAGACTCATCTCCTCCTCCTGCTTGGTCTTCCGAGTGAGAGAGGTCCATTGTCTCCTCCCTACCCAGCTGAGCTCGTTGTAGTCGTTCCTCTCGATGACCCTGCCTAGTAAGCTCTAGCTGAGCTTCCAATAGAGTGAGTAGTCTATCGAGCTTATTGTTGAGGTCTGGGTCCGTCATGGTGATCGTGAGGAGCTGCTTGAACGATCCACTCTAATGTCAGGGGTCTCGCGCCTGAAACCCAGGTCGGTCTGTCGAGATACTCGGTGACTATTAAACTGTGTGACAGCTATTGTCTCGGTATCGGTGACTATCAAGTTGTGCAGTGACAGCAGGTGGCGTTCGTTGTATATACTATCGTAGGTTTCGGCTGACCTCTGTGGACACTCCGTTCAGGGGTAGCTCGGCACGATCAATATCAATGTTATGATGACACCAAGGTCTGGTGTGGGTGTTGATGATGATGAGGTTGATGGTGTTGGTGATGAGATTGGTGATGTCGATGATAATGAGGTTGATGGTGTTGATGATAAGATTGGTGATGTCAATGATAATGAGGTTGATGGTGTTGGTGATAAGGTTGGTGGCGTCAACACGAGTGTCCAGTGTGTTGACTTGATGCTTTGAAGTGATCCCCGGACCGCAGTGGACTACTGCCTTCGGTTCTATCTATATCCGGACCGCTAACCTGCTATGGGCGCCTTCGGACGTCAGGTAGTGGTGATACAACACACACACTACGATGAGGAGCAACCTTGATAGATTGCTGCTATGCTGACTGTAACTAATGAGTACTTGTGTTTCTAAAGTATTGACTAGTTGTATGGTGAGTAGAGTGGATGAGGATCCACTCGACCTATGATGATGAGAAAGCATGGTTATATACCTCTTCTCAGCATCGCCAGCGATGCTGCTCCTGCTCTCTCTCCATAGAGTACCTTCTTCATCGAGTACTGCTCAGGGGCCTCTCCTGCTTGGCACCCCTGTGCCTCTTGGTCGACACAGCTCCTCCTCCTCATGACCTGGTGTCGACTCCTTCGACACTGCTCCTCCTCCTCATGACCTGATGTCGACTCCTTCGACACTGCTCCTCCTCCTTTGATCAGTGACAGTTCCTTTGGCTCTTGTCTCTCGAGCCCCTGAGTGGTAACCATCTGCATGCTCCTTGAGCTTGGCCCTCCTCGTGGCTGTGCCTGCTCCTTGAGCTTGGTCCTCCTCGTGGCTGTGCTTGGCCCTCCTTTGCATGTGAGTCCATAGGAGTCCATGGTCTCCATGGAGACTGCACTACGACCATGCTCTCTACTGGTGTCGACTAGGTCTTCGATACCTGTGCTCCTTCCATATGAACCAGTGACCCTCCTGCTTCTTGAGCATCCAGGCCCATGACACCCCATAGCAGGTTAGCAGTCTGGATATAGATAGAACCAAAGGCAGTAGTCCACTGCAGTCCAGGGATCACTTCAAGTGTCAAAGTCAACACACTGGACACTCGTGTTGACACCACCAACCTTATCACCAACACCATCAACCTCATTATCATCAACACTCACCAACCTTATCACCAACATCATCAACCTCATCATCATCAACACTCACACCAGACCTTGGTGTCATCATAACCGAAGCATTGATATTGATTGTGCTGAGCTGCCCCTGAACAGAGTGTCCACAGAGGTCAGCCGAAACCTATGATAGTATATACAACAAATGCCACCTGCTGTCACTGCGCAACTTGATAGTCACTGATACCGAGACAATAGCTGTCACACAGTTTGATAGTCACTGAGTATCTCGACAGACCGACCTGGGTTTCAGGCGCGAGACCCCTGACAACCTCCTTTTTGTTTGTCAGACCCTGTACCCAGATCATGCCTGAATATGCATCATGTATGATGAGCACATATACAAACTTCTCATTACCACGAAGTGGTCCCATCACATCCATCGAAACCAGCTCAAGTGGTGTTTCTAATCACCTGGGGTGAGCAGTATTCTTTGCTGTGGCTTTGCTACACACACATACATCACATAGAGTTCCAGTGTTGGTGGTGGTAATCAATGGGATATCATGCAAAAGGGTCACTGTGCATGTCTGCATGATGGCATCATGACTGGCATGACCCAATTGCTGGTGCCAGAGATCTGCTTTATTGCAGGACCTGTAGGAGTGGGTCACATTCACCATCCTGGATATGAAAGCAAGGGAGACAGAGGGCTCAGGCATGCTGTTGTCCCATATCATCATGGTGACAGCAGGGTAGCCATCCCCACTTGTTGGTACACAATTGCATGTCTGTCCTTATCCTGTACCATTATGACCTCTTTCTCAAAGGTTACTTTTCCTTGTGCATGCATTACCAACTTTGTGCCGATAAGGTTTGTCACAAGGCCAGGTACAAGCAGACAGTCTTTATAGATCATTTGTTCCCATTGCCACTTCTGAGGGCTGAAGCTCAGAAGGCTGACTGTGCCCCCCATCTTGGTGGCAACCAGTTGTCCTCCATCAGCAGCAGTGATGCTGACTGAGTCCTCCATATCCCTCCAACCTTTCCTGTGTCAAGAAGAGTTGACCATGATGCAGGATGCTCCTGAGTCAAATACAAAGGGAACGAACTGGGGAGGTAGGTTAATGGGTGCCAGTTTAACTTTGGTAAAGAAAGCCAAGACTGGTGCCACATCCTAGTCTTCCCAGTTCCCTTCCATAGGCAACATGATGCAGGCATTTGCACAGCCTTTGGGTGTCACTTTGATCCTTTCTTGCTTCCATTGCACATGGGCTTCAGCATCTGGGCATCTATTAGCCACATGGCCAAGGTCCCCACAAGCCCAGCAGTTAATCAATGTAGCTGCTTGCAATGCAGTAAGTTCAGACACCTCAGCTATAGGGGATAGATGCACAGGTGCACTCTCGGTGGTGAGCTCATAGCACTGACTTAGGATGTCAGCTACACTTTCGGCTGTTTGATCCTTTCCATTGAGTTTTTCATGCAATATAAACACTGAGTTAAATAGTGCATTCTTGTCTGAAGGTAGGGCATGCTTGAGTGTCCTGTAGGGTTAATCTGGCATCCAAGGTTCCTGTAGGTATGTATGAAGCTCTGACACATGGGCTTCCCATTTGGTTAGGAAGTCATAAGCATGACTTCCAATCTGGTCCCAATGTAACCCATAGGTGGCACCACAGAGCTCATACTCTTTAGCAGCGGAGTATGCTTTACACTTGTTTAGTGCCCATTTGAATAGATCTACAGTGATTGGTATTGGTCAATTGCCATATTTGGCAAAGTACTCTGTGTGCAACTTATTTGAGAAGCTATGCATGATGATTGAGCTAAGCATAGAATCAGTGTCCTCAAAAGTCACCACCTTTCAGTCAAGAATGTTTCATGTGAAAGGGACAACTGACAACAAGGTGAATATCTTGCATTGCCAAACATGCATGGAGACCACCCTTGGATCGAGGAGGTCTCATTCATCCCACTTCATTCTGTCATTGAGACCTGAAAGTACCTTGAGGTGATGGTTTGTGATGGCATTAAGCTCTGGAGTAGGCCCTGGCATAGCTTCATACCCAATGAGATGATGGCTGGTGACATTTAAGTCTAGAGCAGGAGTGTTGCCTCTAGCTGACATTGGCGCTTCACTCTTAACAGGGTGGTAGTGTCATTCAATATTCCAGGTGGCTTTGACTGGACCCTTGATCTTGAGGTCAAGTATACAGTTTGCATCCCACTCCTCATTGGTGAGGAAGAGGACCACTCTAGCTCACATCCCTTTACCAAGTTCAATTTGGCTAGCAAATGGACCAAGGTTGTGCATAGCCTTGTAAAGGCTACTAACACACTCAATTAGGATGGATAGAGGTGAGATGGTTTGTTCCTCATCACCTTCCCCCATAGTGTACTTCAGTAGTGTGCCATCTTTTGGGGCAGTAGGGGTACCATAGGTTTCATTTGCTATCTCTTGATTGAACCTGTTTTGGAGGATCTTCAGCAGACATGGTAGGAGATCCTGGATCATTTCGATGAAGTCATCATAGTCTGAGTAGATTGGATTAGACATATTGGTAGAGATACTTTTCGTTGGTGTTGCTGATAGTGTGAAGGAGGCTATCAGATTGGGCTCATAACCTATTGAATATAAACATCGTTTAGGTCCTGATACTGGCAATTGGGGAGAGTCTAAGTATGATGTCACTGCTAGTTTATAGACAGAAACAAATATACTCAATTGACTAAGGGAATGTGGCAAGAGCCTAGTGCTCTCTGTGAGTTATATATACATGTGAGTGGCACTTGCCTGATGTGGGGGTACTACTACTTCATGGTCTATCATGACAATGAGTGGGACTGTGTTGCACCTGATTTCTCCTGAGATCAACTTGACCTAATCTATGATCAAATCGGTAGCTCAACCAGATCAGCCCTATCTGATCTTTGATCAGATCGGCTCCGCGTCGCCCTTTTACCGTCTCATTGGATCGTCATTTTCAGCAGGTGATTCTCGGATCTTCCCCGCATCCGGTTTCACGCTTGCTTCTTCGAAATTCAGCTTGGACCAATACCTCAAAAATACGGTGCTTCCTTCCTTGAGCAAGCCATCTTGCCTTCCTATCTTGCCATCGTCGTCAGCAACACAGCGTGCCGCAGCATCTTGGAAGTCTTCCCTGACCTCAAGGAAGCTCATTGCGCCCATGTGGCCGACCCCTCCAGCATTTTCACCGTGCCGAACAAAACGAGCAACACTCCTCTTCCTTCTACTGGCACTACTGGCCACCACCGTCACTGCGACGGCATCCGCCAAAGTCTATGAAGCGGACGAATACATTCGGCTCAACCGGCACTCTCCACCACGGAGCGACATATCCGACACCAACAAAACAGTCCTCGCCTACATCACACCATGGAACCCAAAAGGTATGGAATTGGTGGACGAGTTCGCCGAAAAGATCGACATGGTCTCACCTGTGTGGTACACCGTCATTGTTTCGCGCTCTTCCCCGGTTGCTGCAGCCAAGGAAAGATGGAAGGAGGCCAAAGGCAGCGGTGATGCTGAGTACGTCTTAAGCGGCGGTCCGACGAACAAGAAGGAGGAAGCATGGTTGAAGCGCAAGTTGAAGCCAGGGTCGGAAGTGCAGATCGTCCCTCGCTTCTTTCTAGATGGATGGAAGCAGAAAGACTACGCCAACTTGCTTTCGAATACCAACAACTGGAATCGGATAGCCGACGTCATCGCTGATGAAGTCGAGAAAAGAAACTACGATGGTGTCGTACTGGAATCTGCAGCGACTCATCTTCTCTTCGAGCCGATACAGACGCTCGCTTCTGCCCTCAAAGCCACGCCAGGAAGGAATGGTAAGGCGAGAACGCTGACAGTAGTACTGCCACCCTTACGAACGAAGCACTCGTTGGGCGGAGAGAAGCCCGACCGAGTCCAAGACAGCCAGAATCGAATGATTGCACAGTCGGTTCCGCAGTTGGCGCAGGTCGTCGACTACCTCTCGATCATGACCTACGACATGTCTTCCGCAGGTGGTCGGGTCAGCGGCATCTCGGGCAAAGAGTTTCCGGATGGCAGTCCATTGAGGGGAGCAAAGAAAGGCAGTCTCAGACAGCCCGGTCCCAACACGAGCCCAGAGTGGATCGAGCAGAACATGAACATGATTGAAGACGCGACTCGAGCTGCAGCAAAGGCAAAGCTGGTCAAGACCAAGAAGGAGCGAGAACAGGAAAAGGATCAAGAGGCCAGGCAAGAAGAGGCCAGGCAAGAGAAGGAGGAAGATGTGGAGAAGCTGAGGCACCCAAGCAATCCTTTTATCTACGACGACTTTGCCGCTACAGAAGTGCTGGATGAGGAAGAAGAGAAGGCGAAGGAGAAGGAGAAGCAGCTTGAGGAACAAAGGGAGGCTGTGGATGAGCTTGCTTTGATTAGAGGCAAGCTCTTGATGGGTATGCCCATGTACGGGTATCGGTATCCAGTGTTTTGGATCGACAAAGCTGCGGGCCATGGGGTTCCAGTCCCTCCTCCATTGAACCCTGACCAGGCGAAAGAACTCCTCGCTCGCGCAGACTCATCTTCGGACGCAGCTGTCCTGCCTTTCCTGCGTGGACCTGGAGAGGCTCTGACCATGGATAGCATTGTCTCTGTTCTGACTGACAATGATGGCGTCATTGTCGACACGCAGGAAGGAAATGGAGAAGGGTGGTTTGACTACGCAGAAACCATTACAAAAGAGACGCTAAAATCGAGGGAAAGCCTTGGAGTCAAGGAAGGAGATCAAATCTATTGGCGCTTGTACTTGCCACTGCCATCGGCAACAGAGACGAGGCTGACGGCACTGAACAATAAAGCAGAGCTGCAAGCGGGCTTGTCGTTCTGGGAGCTGGGTCAGGCCAGCCCGATTCTCCTGAATGATCTGTAGTCGAAGCCCGTAATCAATGCAAGCGCACATCGAGAGTGTATGGGAGTGTAGCGTGAATTGAGACGAGAAGTGTACAGCAGAGTGAGTCGGGTAGCTAAGAAAACAGTGAGAATGGTATGGGATGGAGCACAGCAGTAATCTGGTGGAAAACGAATGCGAGAGAGACGGTTCCAGCGGTCAGGCGAGCGTTAAAGCGAATCAGATCATGCGAGCAACTGTCGGAAGTAAGGGTGGACAAGACTGCGCTTGGCTGAGGTCCTTCCTGCTGGATCGTAGACGAGCATGCCTTGCAGCAAATTCAACCCCGCTTTGTCAAGACTGGGAACGGCATCCCGCAAAGGCCTGCCTGACCACTTGGGGAAGCTGTCCTTGTAGTCGGGCAACTGCTGCACGCCCGGCCAAACATCATCAGTGGGAGTGCCGAGGATACGGAAGATCTTGAAGATCTCGTCAATCTCGGAGTCGCCTGGGAAGAGAGGATGTCGTCTTGCCATCTCTGCAAAGATACAGCCGACTGACCACATGTCGATGGCTGTGCTGTAGTGTCGCGAGCCGAGCAAGACTTCGGGAGCTCGGTACCAGAGGGTGACGACTTCATGTGTGTAGGTGCGGAGAGGAATACCAAAGGCGCGAGCAAGACCGAAGTCGGCAAGTTTGAGGTTACCTTCTTTGTCGATCAGCAAGTTCTGGGGTTTGAGATCGCGGTGAAGGATGCGGTGTGCGTGGCAGTAGTAAAGACCTCGAATGAGCTGGTATGTGAACTTGCGAACAATCTCTGGACCCATGCCTTCGCCTCCCCGATTCCGCGAGACGTTGTCCATGTATTTGCGGAGGTCGAGGTCGAGGAACTCGAAGACGAGATAGAGCTTGCTCTCTTGATGGACAATGTCGAAAAGCCTGCGCGGACGAGGAAACAGCATCGGAACAGAAAGTCAGCAACTTGATGCGCGAAATCACATGGGCTCTCTTCAACTGGATACGTACCTGACAATGTTGTCATCGCGAAGCTCTTTCAGTAACGAGATCTCGCGAATGGCTGTGGAAGGGACACCCTCATCTTCGGCTTCAAGACGAATCTTCTTGAGCGCAACGATGCGGCCGTTGGCGCCCGGTGTGAGATCCTTGGCCTTGTATACGACACCATATGTACCTGTGGCAGGGTCGGCGCAGGAAAGTATTGGCAGGTGTTAGCAACAAAAACCAAAGCACACTGATAGGTCAGAGATGACTGCACTTACCTTCTCCGACCTTTTCGATCCTCTGATAGTTATCCATGTTGTGTGAGGATAGAGACTGGAGTCGATGAGCTGCGTGTGAATCGGTGGCGTGATTGATGGTGTCGAGGAGAGCCGCTTCAAGTATGTAGTTACGAAGCTGCGGGATGTCCGAACTGGCTGAGTAAACGTCCGTAATCACGACTTGCTGAAGGTGTTAGTCGAAAGGCAACGGGCTGGAAAATGTCGATAGAGAAACTGGAAGACGTCTCAGTCGGGTTATGTCCGAAGCTGACTGTGGTTTGGTGTGATGGTGGAGGTCAGACGGCCGGCGAATCCGAAAGAAGCTGTGATGATGTGATGTCTCGAAGGAATGTATGTGACAGTTGAGAGTTCAACTCCGTTGCAGTCGAGAACTGTGTCAATCTCAAAGCAAAGCAACTCACTCGACTGGCTGTCTGCTGCCCCGGCTTGTCCGAGAGAGCGTATGAATTCGCGCGGCGGAGGTCACAGAGTCACGCAGAGCTCCAAGGAAAAAAAGTGTTGGTCTCTGATGCCCATGCCAGCCAAGGAATAAACGCAGTCAACGCGCCTGGACCGATGCCAACACGAAATCCAAAGTCGAAACCAACACCTCCCTTCTTGCCTGTCTGTGCGTTGAGCTTTTTTTCGCACGTCAGGCACGCTGCTGCCGCTCGGGCTCGCCGAAGTCGGTCAAAAACGTCCGATTAGCAAAGGCTCACCAGGCCCGATCAGTTGTCCGATACAGCCACTATTATGCTGTCAAAGCCCCAATCTTGTGCTTTGCCGAAGGCGCTCAATTTGCTCAGCATGTTCAGGGTCTTGCGACGCTCGGGCCCGCCGGATCAACCTCGTCGGCAACGCTTCCACGTTGGATTGACCCATCACTTGCCTCATCAAGTTGAAGTCCCACTTCACCCACACCTTGGAGCCGCTCTGTTTCTTTTGCCTACCACCATCTCGATTCAATCTATGTTGAGCGGACTGACGCGAGCTTTTGCCAGTCGCACGATCTCGCCCTCTCTTCTGCCTTCCTCTAGAATCACTTTCCTTCCTTCCTCAACAGTTCCATCAGCACATACAAAACGCTTTTTGGTCTGCACCGCAGCCAGCATGTCATCCTCCAACGCTCCTGCCTGGTCGACCCAACCCAATCCATACCCTCCGGCTCGCCGTGACGAGAAAGCTTCCCAAACCTACAAGTCGGCTGCCAAGGGATCAGTCACCGTGCCTGAGCCCTACATCTGGCTAGAACAGCCCCCCTCGCAATCCGAAGAGACCAAGGAATGGGTTCATGCCCAAGCGAAGCTCACCCAGACCTATCTCGACGACTGCCAGCCTGATCTCGATATCCTCAAGTCTCGCATCGAAAAGAACTTCGACTTTGCTCGCTTCTCCTGCCCTTCGCTCAAAGGAGATGGTCAATACTATTACAGCTACAACTCGGGACTGTCCCCACAGTCGTTAATTTACACAGCCAGTAAAGAGGAGGTGCAGAACAACGCTGGAAGGAACGGCCGCGACCCCATTGGCAAGATTTTCTTCGACTCGAATCTCTTGAGTGCTGACGGCACAGTCGCTCTCAGCTTCACCACCTTCTCGCATTCCGGCAAGTACATGGCTTACGGCATCAGCAAGAGCGGAAGTGACTGGACTGAGATCTTCATCCGTGAGACTGTTAAGCCGTTCAAGCTCGACGACGCTCACTACAACTCGAATGGTACCATCAAGCTCTCCAAAGAGGAGCTGGCCAAGCATGTCGATGCCAGTGGTGGAAAAGGCCGTCTGGGAGACCAGCTGGAGAATGTCAAGTTCTCCGGTGCTACCTTCACTCACGACGACAAGGGTCTCTTCTACCAAACCTACCCTTCTTCTTCCGTCACCGACAAAGGTACCGAGACCGACGCCAACAAGGATGCACAGCTGTGGTACCACCGTATCGGAAGCCCGCAGTCCGACGATGTCCTGGTTATCAGCAAGGATCTCAAGGCTCCGGAGTCGATGTGGTCCACCAACGTCTCGCACGACGGCAACTTCCTGATGCTCTACAACAGCAAGGACACCGACACAAAGGAGCGTGTCTACGTCTTGCCTCTTCACAACCATGGCATTGACGCCAACAACCAGTTCAGTTGGATCCCATTGGCCTTGTCGTTCAAGTACGTGCTCAACTACATCACCAACAAGGGCAACCGATTCTACTTCATGACCAATAAGGATGCTCCCAACTACCGTCTTGTCTCGGTCGACATCGACCCTAGCAAAGCTTTGGCGACCAAGAACGTTTGGGAGCTGACCGGAGAGGATGCTGTGGTCAAGGACGTGATCGCCGAAGATAAGAATGCTTTGTTGGGATCCGTTCAAGTCATCGACCACAACAAGCTGCTGGTGGTCTACTCGAGGGATGTCAAGGATGAGCTTTACCAGTACGAACTCGAGACAGGAAAGCGCGTCGAGAGGTTGCTGCCAGACTTGGTTGGCACCATCGACCAGATCGCTGCCAGGTACAGCGATGATCATGCTTTCGTCAAATTTGGCTCTTTCGTCAACCCCGGCCAGGTCGTCAGGCTCAATTGGGAGACCAACTCTGCTCCCGATGCTAAGAAGCAGGAGCAGACCGCGTACTACGACACCCAGGTCGAAGGGATCAAGGCCAACGATTTCGTCTCAGAACAGGTGTTCATCAAGTCCAAGGATGGGACTCGTGTCCCCATGTTTGTCACCCACCCTAAGACGGTTCAGAAGGATGGCACCGCTCCGGCTATTCTTTACTTCTATGGAGGTTTCAACATTTCAATCACGCCTGTCTTCTCGCCCTCGATGATGTCTTGGATCTCGTCTTACAACGGTGTCCTGGCTTTTGTCAACTGTCGCGGTGGGGGGGAATACGGCGACAAGTGGCATGAAGCAGGCACACTGCTCAACAAGCAGAACGTATTCGACGATGCTCTCTCAGCGGCTAAGTATCTGCATGAATCTGGCTATGCAGCTAAGGGCAAGATCATCTTGTCCGGTGGTTCCAATGGAGGTCTTGGTGTAGCAGCATGTATTAACCAGCAGCTGCCCGAACATGGTATTGGAGCCGGAATTGCAGATGTGGGAGTCATGGACATGCTCAAGTTCCATACTTGGACGATCGGCCACGCTTGGAAAAGCGATTACGGTAACGTCGAAGACCCGGAGATGTTTGATTATCTATACAGGTATTCACCCCTTCACAATGTTGATGGGAAGAAGGTGTACCCTACAACAGTACTAGCATGTGCTGACCACGACGACAGAGTGGTTCCAGCTCACAGCTTCAAGCTCATGGCCGAGATGCAACACAAGCTAGCCAGTAACCCTAATCCTTTGTTATTGAGGGTGGAGATTGACGCTGGACATGGAGCCGGAAAGAGCACACAGAAGCGGATTCAGGAGGCTGCTGAAAAGTACGCCATTGTTGCTCGAGCACTTGGCCTCAAAATTCGGGAGGAAGGTAGCCGACTGTGAAGAAGTTGCTGCTTTGTCTGCATTTGTGCATATCTACCCTACAAAGCTGTAAGATACTCCTGCTGTGACACACCTTTAGCATGAGTCTTGACTGGTCTGTATAGTGCGAAACGAAATCTGAGACTCTCGCCGCCAAAGTGTGACGAGCTCCGTTGCCGGGCGGAGACGGAGCATTGTCGTCTTGCGGTCTGGTGTGTGCTCAACTGTCTTGAGATGGCATCGCTGTCCAAATGCAGATTTCCTGCTCGGCCGGAGGCTTTTCCTTGTCAAGCAGGAAAGTACGTTTGAGTAGGTCAAGTAGTTACCTCCGTCCAGCCACGGAGGTGAGTAGAGCATGTGGCCATCGCGGTTTCCCTTCCTGCTAGCTAGCTCGCTTTCTTCCGGTTCTGACCTAGACACCGACTATTGCACTTGCTCGATGCGATCACGCTCAACAGAGGCGATGTTCGCAATTGCGAGCGGCAGTCCCTTTCCGAACTCGTTCTCGACTTTGTTCTTGCTCACGACGCTTCACGCGCAACCATTGACCGTCTTTCTGGTGGTTGAGACCTCTGGCGGAGACTATGCATTGTTCTTACGCCAATATTTCGGTTTGAATGAGTCGAGTGTGCATCCTCGCCTAGCTGCAGATGTCTTTCTCGATGGGGGTCGCAAGCTTTTGCGGTCACAGCAGCAAGGACTTTTGAGTGTGTCGAGACAGTTTGGCCGTCCAGCCACTATTGGGTAATTGAAGCTAGAGCCGTTCCTTTCCGTGCCTCGGTGTCCTCGATGTTTGAGCCTGCTGTCTTCGAGTTGCGTCTTTGACGTCGGCTGTCTGTCAGCATCCACAGTCTGCTCGTGACAGATGTACAGAACACATAAATCAGCAACCAATCAACCTCTCGCTATCATTCTCATGGTAAGCGGCTTCCCTGCTTGGCAGCTCGGCTCGAACGACTCTATCATTGTACAAAGACTTCTTCAATCCTACCTTGTCATCCGCTGATCGGTTCACATGATCTCCACTCAAGACTTGCGCATCGTTATCTAAGCACAAAATGACGAAGCTTCAAGGTTTCATGTCTCACTCACGTCTTCGCGTGATGTTTTGGCCAGATTGACGCGCTGACGCGTCGCGTAAAGCACCCTTTCTAGCTTCTGCGGGGACAACGTATCTGATTGGTTCGCGAAGAATCTCGTGCAGAGGGCCTTCCCCTTCCGCTTCCCTTTTTTTTTTTTTTTTTTTTTTTTTTTTTCTTTTCTGACTTTTCTTCTTGTGGACATCATTTCCGCAAACGCACGAGCCAGCATGAGGTAGGACAAAGCCTTATTATCCATCCGCTTCCAATACATCCATCTTGTCTTCTCCCCCACCACACACTCCTTCAAACCTGTGCTCCTTGAGGCCTAGACCTTCGTACAGTCTTTATCGCTCATTACTACTTCGCCACTCTTATTCAATCCTGCGTGTTCGCGGAAGCCTGCGACGCTCACAAACCATAACTCAAGCGAAATGGTTCGCAACAACACCACACAAGATATCGAGGCGGATTACGAAGCGCAAAGGCAGGCCAACATCAAGGCGAATTTCGAATTGATGATGTCGCTTGGTTTGTATCAGTCTTCGACTTTTCTCTACCCCAGGCCGCCTTCTACGCCGAAGGCTAAGTCTTCACCGAAAGCAAAGGCAGCTTCTTCCTCGGGGTTTGTTGATGGAGGCGAAGATGTTGAACAGAGGGTGGAGAGACCAAAACGAATCACCCGCTCGGTATCCCGTGTTATGGAACCCAAACAAAGCACCGCAAGAGGAATGAAAAGAGCGCTAAGCGACGAAGGGCTGCCTAGCCGCAAGACGAAACGCTCTGATCCGACGGAGTACAATCCCGATGCGTTCATCGATTCTGACAATTCTGACGACGACAAAGACGAATCCTATCGCTCCCACAAATCTTCTCGACCGCACACCAGCTTCAATCCTAACCCAACCTACAGAGACAAAGCTGAGCTCCAACGCCACTCCGATCGTCTGGGAATCCGTATTCACAACCCCAAAACCTTCGGTTCCATCCCTGGCATCCCCATCGGCACGCTCTTCTCTAAACGCATCCACGCATCAACCGCAGCCATTCACGCTCCTACCGTAGCTGGCATTAGTGGGAACGAAGAAGTTGGTTGTTGGAGTATCTGTCTTTCTGGTGGTTATGAAGACGATATCGACTCAGGCCACACTTTCACCTATACTGGCTCAGGAGGTAGAGATCTAAAGGGAACGGCGAATAATCCAAAGAATCTTCGTACAGCCCCACAAAGCAGTGATCAAGAATGGGAGGGAAAAAACGCAGCACTAAAGAAGAGTGTCAAGACGGGCAAACCGGTTCGAGTGATGAGAGGGTGGAAAGGTGGGAATAAATGGTGTCCGAGGGAAGGGGAGGGATATGTGTATTGTGGTTTGTATAAGGCGGTTGATGCTTGGATGGAGAACGGTAAGGCTGGATTTTTGGTTTGTCGGTTTAGATTTGTTAGGTTGCCCAGTCAGGAGCCTTTGCCTACCTTCGATCATGAAAGAGAGGAAAGTGGAGATAAAGCTGAGGCTGAGGATGAGAGGAAGGAAAGTGAGGATGAGGTGCAAGTTGTTGAGCCGCCAAAAGAAGTCTCAGCGCGGGAAATGAGTGCTCGCAACCGCGCCCAACCCCGTCCCTCCATGGCAACCAGCTCAAAGGTCGCAGCGTCACCCTCACCAACACCATCGAACCGCTCCATCCGAAGCACATCCTCCATCAGCCCCCACCCCATCCTCAAATCTTCGTCAAGTGACTTTGATCGGTCGCAGTACACCATCATTTCCGACTCAGACTCTGACGTGGAGGAGGTTGAGAGGGAAGAGGAGGAAGAAGTGCAGCTCATCCTCGAAGTTGACGCAAAAGGAAAAGAGGTTGAGGAGAGAGTTGCGAGAAGGTCGCCAAGAAAGAGTAAGGCGAGTTGGAAGAAGTTGGAGTTCGAAACTGGTTGGAAGACCTTTCGCTCCTAAATTGCTCGAGTGGAGCAGGAAGAGGGAGCAGGGGAGAAAGGGAAGAAAGGGGAGAGAGGAGATGATGTATATACCAAGCACACACACGCTATTTCTGTGACTTTCAAGTTGATACCATTTGTGCAACATACTTGCCCGAGAATGTGGTGCGATTGCTGGGTAATAAATGATGTCTAGCATACATGAGAGACTGCTTATGAGGAGGAGGGTTGGTCTACATCTCCAGCCTCTGTACTGGGATCGGCGTTGCTTTCTGCGGGCTGAGCTGTGGCATCTTCCTTCGAGACTGCCGATGATTCGGTTTGAGACTGCTCCTCCTCCGTCTTGCTTTCTTCGGCCACGTTTTTGACTGTATCGGGCTCAGGCTTTGCCCCTGACTGCTCCGATGCCGACGCTTCTGGCTCAGGCTCAGGATCCTGAGTTTTGGTGCCGTTCGTTGTTGGTGGTGCGTCCACAGAATCGGCCTTCGAGTCGGCTTCTTTGGTGGGCTCAACGGTGCTTTTGGTGTCAGCAGAAGCTGCTGCTGGAGCGGCAGAAGCAGTCCCTGTCGAGTCGGGCTGCGTCTGCGCGGTAGTCTCCGTGTTTGCCTTCTCTCCCTTGGCTGGACCATCTGCTGCTGGCTCACTGTTTGCTGCTTCAGCCTCTGCGGATTCTTTTTGAGCGCAGTTCCACTCGGTCGTCACGTCGGCCGGAGTAGCTACTTGAGCTGCCCCTTCCGCGTTCGCCTGCGGCTGAGGCTGAGGCTGTTCACTAGCACCAACCCCAAAAGCATGCGATAGAGACCAAGACAGAGCCGGCTGCTGCTGACCTTGTTGTTGCTGCTGCTGCTGCTGCTGTCCTCCTTGTTGCTGCTCTTGCCCTGCCGGCTCCTCGCCAGGCGGCGGCGACAAGACCTGAACACCAGTCTGTCTCCCCAACAGTTGTGTATACCCAACCCACTCCTCCACCAACTCCTCCTGCCTCTTAATCATATCCCCCAACCACATCCCCACTACCTTTTTAAAATCCAACACTCTCTCCAAATCCAATCGTTCCATCTCCTCCTTACACCTCTGCGAAACTGTATCAAACAATCGCTGTGCATCTAGTGCCTTTGTCTCTGCCTCCGTCACTTCAGCCAACAAGCTCTGGAACTGCGGTCCTGCGCTGGAAGGGTTGGCTGCTTTGTACTTTTCGAATCTAGCTCGTGTCTTGCGGAGCTCGTCAGCTTGACGAGCGGATTTGGCCCAGACCTCGGCGCGGACTTTGAAAGCTTTACGGACGGAACCAACGACTCGCTCGTATTCGTACATCGTAGTACCTAGTTGTCGGACATCGGCTTCTGCTTGTGCGTCTTCCAGCTCGAGACCGCGGCGTTTGACTTCGGCTAGCCCGGCGAAACAGGTGCTGAGGGACCGACTCAAGCTGCTGCCCGAAAGAGTGGTGAGGACTTGGGCTAGGTCGTGTATCGATTGGACCATGTGTTTGCGCTGATTGGAAAGGGCGGATACGGATTTGACAATCCCCTTCAGTGCATTTTCGAGCGAGTCGATGTACATCTTCTGCTCGTTGAACCATTCATCTGTCTCCTCGAAGCTGTAGGCACTCAAGGCGCCAGAAGACAGAGATGAGGTGCTAGGGACAACACTTCCCAACAATGCACTTCCCCAACTCTTGTATGTCTTTTGCTCGGGAGTGATGATTGGTCCCTTGATCATATCACGCTGTTTGACGTCAGCGGCAAAGTTCTCTGACTCGAGAAAGAGACGGAAGTCATCGTCCTGTTGGAGCAGAGGATGGTTGGCGATCTTGTTGATGCATGTTTCGAGACCGATACGACGTGCTTCGACGAGTTCAGCTGCAAAGCGACCGATCGAGACCTTCTCTGGGACGGGTGGGACGATGATACCAGGGTTGTTTTGGACTAGTGCAGCGTGCAGCCAGCGGAAGTCTCTGTAGCGACGCAGGGACGAGAATTGCTGGGCACGGAAGTTGGGGCAGTCAGTGTGCGTGCGGACCGTGTAGACAATGTGAGCAGTCATTGGATCACCGATTCGTTGCGGATCGCCGACTTTGATGGTGAAGTTCCAGTTGCAACGGTGTAGACGCTCATAGGCTTCACGATCACGGGCGTCTTGCAGCAGGTCGAAGGATGGCCGATGATAGAGGCGGGGTTGAGTCGTCGGTGCTGCAGCCGCGACGCCATCTGCATGGGCTGTGCTGCGATCGCCTTCTGCCGACATGCGCGATGGTGTTGACGAGCCAAGGGATCCGATCGAGCCAGACATTCTTGGCGCAGCAAGAGCAGGGCTGCCATCTGCAGAGAGTCGACCAGCTCGCGTTGGTGAACCAGTGATGGACGCTGTGAGCGTTTCCGGAAAAGCAGTTTGATTAGTCTGTGGTGAAGGTTGACCATACCCATCCTCGTCTGAGTCGTTGCTTGCATGACGGGGACCAGCAGCTGCCGCATCGAGATGCAGTGGCCCTGACAGGCTCGACTTGCGAGCTGTGCCGCCAAACATGGTGCTCTCATCTGTCAGCGAAGTCAGACGAGCAGCACTACTGGCACTAAGCGATCGCTGAGGAAGGCTCGAGCCGATGCGTTGCCTTTCGCGTGCCGCGGCGAGGTTGAGCGGGCTCTCCTCGACAACTGAACCTGTTGGTGTCGCGTCTGACACTTGTGTGGATGCTCGTGTTTGCGTATCAGCAGCATCGCCGTTTTCAGGAAGCGGCGGTGTGTTTGGTCGGTGAGCGCTTTTGATGGAAGATGGTGGATGTGAGCTCGTGGGCGAGGGAAGACCGGATGTAGATGGTGGAGTGGGCCGAGCTTTGAGTGAGTTGAAGGATGGATGCGGCGAGCCTGGGTCGTGATCAGTGCCGTTCGGAGCTTCACCAGCCTCGCTGGAAGGCGGTGCAGTAGATGGACCCGCGTCATCTGTGGCTGCTGGTTGTGACTCTGTCGAGGAATCCTCTGCGGACTTGGATGCTTCCGCATCCTGCTTCTGTTTGGCGTCTGCTTCTTCAGCCTCTTTTTGCTTGTGAGCCTGCTGTTCGACTTCACGCTGTGCTTTGACCTCTGCTTCGGCTTTTTCGGCTGCTATGCGTCGCTCCTCTTCCAGCTTACGTTGACGTTCGGCTTCTTCCGCTTCTCGCTTCTTACGCTCTTCCTCTTGTATGCGTCGCTTCACTTCGGCTTCGGCAGCCAGACGTGCTTCCTCTTCGAGTTTAAGCTCGTGCATCTATCTCAACAACAGAGAGAGAGAGAGAGAGAGAGAGAGAGAGAGATTAAGTGGAAGAAGAATATAGGAAGGAAGTCGCACAGGTCAGTCTAAGTTTCTTCAAAATACACTTGATTCAATTGGCAGCTAAGCTACATAGCGTGGCGGCTACATTGTTGATGTCGAAAGCGGACGCCAGGATTGTCTTCAAAGCGCAGTTCGCTGAGTACGTACCTCGGCAAGATAAGGGCGCCACCAGTCCTCGAACGATGTGTACTCGATCGGTACACCATACTCCTCCAACACTGACGTGTCGAGCTTGCAATGTCGAGGTCGAGCAGTTGCAGCCATTGGATCAACTTCGTATTCCGGGTCGAGAAGGTCGGTGCGTGTTTCGAAGCCTACCGAGCTGGCGATACGAGAAAGGACCATGCACATGTCGTACTTGGTCATAGCCTCCTTTGCGCTGAAATGAGTGGTGGGTGGAACAGGTTTGAACGAGTCGGCAGCATGCACTTCTGCAAGCTTGAGAATGGCTTTGGCGACATCGCCGACGTTGGTGGGATACCTGACTGCATAGGCATCGCACTTCTTGGGCGTTGTGGATCCTGCTGGTGGCTGAATAGCGTCGAGGAGAACATTAACGGCAGACTCGTTGTTGGTGATCGTCTTGCCGTACAATATTGGAACACGAAGGTTAGTAAAGTGACCAGGCTTGGCGTTCTCCGCTACTGCACGCTCGCCTTGAAGCTTGCCAACACCATATGCATTGAGAGGGTTGGGAGCATCATCGACCTTGTAAGGTGGCTTAAAGCCGTCGAAGACATAGTCGGTCGAGATGTTGATAAGCAGTGGTACATGGTCGAGCTTCGATGCGAGCATTGCGATGCTGGCTGGTGCATCGACGTTGATAGCATGCGATGCCGCTGGGTCCTTCTCGACAAAGTCTGAACGACGCTCAGCTGCTGTATGGACGATGACATCAGGCTGGAATTCGCGCAAACATGACTCGAGGGCGGTGGCATCTGTGAGGTCGAGCTTGACGAGCTGCTTTTCGGGATCTGAACGGGTGAAGGCAAGTGCTTTGGTGTCGTAGCCCTTTTGGTTACATTGCTGATGGACAGCACGACCGAGCAGACCGGATGCGCCGGTGATGAGAACCTTCATTGTCGATGTCAGCGTCGAACGCTGCGTTTCAGATAAGCCAGGCTCTGAGATGAGGGCTGATGGCGGTGCTGATGCGCTCCTTTCCAAACCAACTTGCGACCGTCAGACTGCGCTCAAGCAGAATTCCGGATGAGGTCAGCAGCGGATGCTTTCCGACAGATGCGTAGTTGGTGCTGATGCGCTTGGCAACAGTTGCTGCTGGTGTGGTGCGATGATCGGAGAGGGAAGCGACTGTTCGTGAGGAGGCGTGGGAAGGTGACAGCAGCAAGAAGGCAGACGAGTTTGCTTGTCAGGCTTCGGCGTTCAACTCCATCCCTGCACGCAACACACACACGCGAATTCACATCAAGAGGTCCGAGCTTGAGCTTCAGCCCGATTTGTAACGCTGCAAGATCGAGATCAACACTCCCCTAACGCCGGGAGCTCGAAAAATTTAAGCGAGGGCACAGCTAAGCACAAGCCTCGATCGGAAGAAGCCGAGTTGACTCGACATTGACCTCGGATCTTTTCCGAACACCTTCTCACATCATCACAGTCACTGTGCTTACACAACATAGACGGATCATCCGATAGATAGAGTAGACAAGTATACAGTCATGTCGGAAGCAAAAAAGCCCATCGCCAACATCAAGGCTGTTCTGTTTGACATGGACGGCCTGCTCATCGACTCGGAAGGCATCTACACAAAGGTGGTCAACGACATCCTCGAGCCGTACGGCAAAGAGCAGACATGGGAGATCAAGGCCAACCTCATGGGCAAGCCAGAGCGTGAGGCGACATGTAAGTAAACAGACCATAGCTGAATGTGTAAGATTCTGTAGTCGATGATTGTGCTGATGAGCTCCTTCCTTCCCTTGTTGTGCTGCTTCTTGTCACAGTGACACTGCTCTCCTCGGTATGGCCACCTACTAAGGAAGGCCAACTCTACAGTCCAGATTGTCCCTTTGACATTGACAGCTTCCTGAAAGATCGCAACGAGGTTCTCCTCAAAGCCTTTGAGCAAGTTCCAAAGATGACAGGCGCATCCCGATTGGTCCAGCACCTTCACAAGCACAACATCCCCATCTGCGTGGCGACAGGAAGCAAGCGTAAGAACTACGACATCAAGACCGCAAGCCATCCGGATCTCTTCGGCCCCTTTGCCGACCGTGTTATTTGCGGCGATGACACCAGATTGACACGTGGCAAGCCTCATCCTGACATCTTCCTCCTCGCTGCACGCGAAGGTCTGCTCAGCAGCCATTCCAACGACCACATTACAAGGGAGAGGCTCGGAGGGCAATGGACACAGAGCTTGAGGGAGATGGGAGAGCACTTTGACGAAGCTCACCACTTGAAAGGAGGCGAATCGAGCATCTTGGTGTTGGAAGATGCAAAGCCAGGTGTCCAGGCTGCTAAGGCGGCAGGTATGCACGGTAGGTGCCAAGCACGATTCGCTGCTCCATTGTGCCATGTTGCATTGATGGCTGACTTTACCTTGTATTCTATTCTGATCTGCTGCAGTGGTGTGGGTGCCCGACCCGAACCTCCGAGCGCTCTTCCCCAACGAAGAGCTGGGCGCATCACAGACCATCAACTCTTTGCTTGATTTCGACCCAACCGACTGGGGTCTCCCGCCGTTCGACGACAGCGACAAGTAAGAAAAGGATCCGGGGATATTCAGTCCGATGCATAATGACACTTGGCATTGTAGAGTATAGTGTACATAGATTTGAATTAAAACAGTGTTACGGAGAATCTAGTCCGGAGATCTTTGTAAAGCAGCAGCTTGGGACCGCTTCAAGGAACAGGATCCATGCTTTTAGGTGAAGGAGAGCGCAGAAGTGGATCAAGATATCCATGTTGTGATGCTGATGTAGTTGATGAGATGAACAAGGTATGTGGAAGGCAGTTGGTCAGGCTCACATGCCGAGCATGCCGTTCATGGCGTTGCCAACATACGCCATGGGCTTGATGTTAGGGTGGGGTTGCGCCTCAAATCTGGTCCAGCCAATGCTGCCCTTGTCGTCGATACGGGCAAAGGCACCCAGGTTGCCCGTCGAGTCGCAGTAGTTGGGGGCCGAGAAAATAGTGCAGCAGCGTCCCTCGTGCTCTTCTTCATAACCACCCATGCGCACCTCGTGACTACGCAACACAGCTGTGACACCGTTGAGCTCGCACCATGCCTTGGTGATGTCGGGACCGAACCCGAGACCCACACCGCGCTTGGAAGGGTTACGTCCTGGTGCAGCCTGAGGGTCGCTCCAGAGCAACTCCACCATGAGACCCTGCTGACCAGGCTGCCCGATCTTGAAGCGGTCGATGGCACGAATATCGTCGAGCGTCACGCCATCCTTGGAGAAGAGACCGCCGTGGACTACAAAGAAGCGTTTGAAGCCAGTGTCCTTGGCGACAATGGGCTGACGCTGAGCGATCGAGAACGAGTCGGGCAGCTCGTTGCCAGTGAGAGGGGGCTTGGTAGCCGAGATGAGCGTGGCAAGAGGCAAGGAGATGAAGACCTGCGTAAAGAGCTTGAAGGTGAGATCGCCACCGAACTTGGCCTTGCACTCACCCTCGAAACCGTAGACCTTGTTCATCTCAGAAGTTTCGTGGTTACCACGGTTGATAAGGGTAGTCTTTGGATAGAGCCACTTGTATGCAAAAACGGTGAGAGCAATCTCGACCGACCATGAGCCTCGGTCGACAAAGTCACCGTTGAACAGGAGGGCGTGCTTGTCGCTTGGAGGGCCGGTCTTGTTGAGGAGGTGGATAAAGTCGAAGAATTGACCATGTGTGTCGCCAATCACATCGACTGTAGTGTCTTCGGGAATCTCGTAGTCGACCAAGGTCGGCTCCTGCTTCAATGCTCGAAAGGCACCAAGGATGATCTGCCACGAGTATCGGTTGTGTAGTTTGCCGCCATTCTTAAAGTGCTCAATCATGTCCTCGATAAACTTTTGATCAATCTTGCCGAGATGCTTTGTCTCTTGATCATCACCATCAGCAATACGCGGGCCAATGTACGAGTCAGGAACAACGGTGCCGCCGGAGCCCTCTTTGAGGTTGGACTCGACTGTGTCCACAGCTTGAGCACCATCCGGGACCTTAATGGCCTTCTCGAACTCGAGACGACGAATGAGCTTGACAGTGGCTTCAAGCTGTGCCTTTACCGTGGCGTTCTTGGGCTCAAGCTGGGCAACAATGCGAAGGTCTGGTAGTGCAGACTTGGGATCGAGAATGCTGAGATGTGCGCTGGCTCTGCGGAAATAAGCTTTGGAGAACTTGGAGTCGAGTTGGATAGCCTTGGTAGCATCCTCTATCGCGAGACCATGCTGTTCAAGTTTGAGTTCGCATGCTGCACGGTTACTGTAGAACGCGGGGACGAAAGGGTCGAGTGCGATGGCGAGGCCGTACTGATGTTTGGCAGCTTCATACTGACCAACAACGAAGAGCTTGTTTCCTTCATCCTTGAGGGCTTTCGCCTTGGCCTGTCTTTCTTCGACAGGAAGAGCGATGTCTTCCTTGGTTGGTGAGGGAGGGAGATCGGCAGAAGTGGCGGAGGCCTGGTCAAGCTGAGTAACGTCGGTGCCGACGCTCAACGAAGAGACGGAGGAAGCGACGGGCGAAGATGGTGCTGATGAACTGCTGGATGACGCAGACCCGGCCTGCACCGCATTAGAAGATGGAGATGACATGCTGCGGGTATGTATGATGGAGTGTGAAGCCAATCAAGCGAGCGCTTCGGATGCCTTCCGATGGGTATGGTTGGATTGGTTTGCAATCTTAAATCAGCGGCGAGACGACCAAGGTCAGACGAGTCCAAATGGCGTGGGATGAGGCTGAGAGCGTGGGAAAGGTTTGTCCTCTCTTCTTGTTCTGTGTCGGATGGACCGACGTATGACTGAGATGGTGCGGACAGTCGGGAAAAAAAACAAGAGATTGTGTGGAGATGGTGGAAGGAAGTACTGTATGTTAGCACAAAGAGGTGCGTATTGTGACAGGCGACTTTTCTTCCACGCCGATTCCTGTGACAGAAGAGAGAGAGAAAGAGAGCTGATAGCCATTGCGAGGCTGGACTGTGCTCCTGTGCCTCTGATTTTTCTCACTCCACACTTTTTTCTCAATCCCGTCTGGACTCAATCGCACGAAACGTACCTAAAATTGTATACACATATCACAAAAAAAAAAACTAGGTGGATTGCAGGCAAAGACCTGTGAGGTCCTCAAAGCTTGACAAGGAGGCTCCTGGCCCACCAACAGCTGCAGTGTCACCTGTGCAGCAGACAGTGGTCACTGCAGAGGGGCTGGAGGCTCCACCAAGGTTAGAGGACAGGATAATGCCAGGAAGCATCTGTAGGGACAAGTAGTCCCTGTCAGGTGGAATAGAGGGCAGAGGCAACCATCATGTGGCACTCAGCTGTGGAACAGTCAACATGTTGCCAATAGCAATCTGAGTTCCACCACCCAAGTGTCATGGGCCTGGATGCTCAAGAAGGGTCACTGGTTCATATGGAAGGAGCACAGGTATCGAAGATCTAGTTGATACCAGTAGAGAGCATGGTCATAGTGCAGTCTCCATGGAGACCATGGACTCCTATGGACTCACATGCAAAGGAGGACTGAGCCATATGCGAGGAGGGCCAGGCACAGCCATGAGGAGGACCAAGCTCAAGGAGCAGGCACAGCCACGAAGAGGACCAAGCTCAGATGGTTACCACTCAGGGGCTCGAGAGACAAGAGTCGAAGGAGTCGACACCAGGTCATGAGGAGGAGGAGCAGTGTCGAAGGAGTCGACACCACTCAGGAGGCACAAGGGTGCCAAACAAGCAGGATAGCAAGGAGGAGGAGCAGTGTCAAAGGAGTTGACACAGCTCAAGAGGCACAGGGGTGCCAAGCAAGCAGGAGAGGCCTCCTGAACAGTACTTGATGAAGAAGGTACTCTCTGGAGAGAGAGCAGGAGCAGCATTGCTGGCGATGCTGTGAAGAGGTATATAACCATGCTTTCTCATCATCAAAGGTCGAGTGGATCCTCATCCACTCTACTCACCATACAACTAGTCAATACTTTAGAAACATAAGTACTCATTAGTTTTCAGTCAGCATAGCAGCAATCTATCAAGGTTGCTCCTCATTGTAGTGTGTGTGTTGTATCACCACTACCTGATGTCCGAAGGCACCCCATAGCAGGTTAGTGGTCCGGATATAGATAGAACCAAAGGCAGTAAGTCCACTGCGGTCTGGGGATCACCTCAAGCATCAGTCAACACACTGGACACTTGTGTTGACACCACCAACCTTATCACCAATGCCACCAACCTTATCACCAACACCATCAACCTCATCATCATCAACACTCACACCAGACCTTGGTGTCATCATAACCTATGCATTGATATTGATCGTGCCAAGCTACCCCTGAACGGAGTGTCCACAGAGGTCAGCTGAAACCTACGATAGTATATACAACGAATGCCACCCACTGTCACTGCGCAACTTGATAGTCGCTGAATGACTAGCTCATCAAGACAGATACTGAGACAATAGCTGTTTCACAGTTTGATAGTCACCGAGTATCTCAACAGACCGACCTGGGTTTCAGGCGCGAGACCCCTGACATTAGAGTGGATCGTTCAAGCAGCTCCTCACAATCACCATGATGGACCCAGACCTCACCAATAAGCTCGATAGACTACTCACTCTATTGGAAGCTCAGCTAGAGCTTACTAGGCAGGGTCATCGAGAGGAATGACTACAATGAGCTCAGCTGAGTAGGGAGGAGACGATGGACCTCTCTCACTCAGAGGACCAAGCAGGAGGAGGAGATGAGTCTATGATAGGAGACCCACATACTCCTACTCCAGCTCCACGACCAAGACGACTGTTGGCTCTCAGACTCACAAGTGATGCTCCTGGTGCCGCCACACGTCATGTAGAGCGGTTCAGAGACTTGGAGGGACAGGTCAACCTAGATGACAACGAGCTAGTGATTGATCTCTTCAGAGGAAGTCTCACTTGCAGCATACAGGAGAAGTTCGAGAGGAATCCACCTGGGAAGAGATGGGAGTGGTACCGAGAGGTTGAGGAGATCGATCGACAGAGGATGCTACTACAGCAGTCCTCGGCTAGACACTCACTCCCAAATGCCATGTCACCTCCACTAAGAACTGGGTCTCGGCCAAATCAAAGTTCGATCCCCATCTGACAACCCACTCAACCTTATCCAGCTCGATCACCAGCACAAGCAACTACACAAGCAACTATACAAAACCTAAACCGACCCCTTCCTCATCATCCCACCCAACCCTCGAAGCAAGGAAGCCCTGCTCCATCAGGTATCAACACCTTGTCATGGGCCTGGATGCTCAAGAAGCAGGAGGGTCACGGGTTCATATGGAAGGAGCACAGGTATCGAAGATCTAGTCGAGATCAGTAGAGAGCATGGTCGTAGTGCAGTCTCCATGGAGACCATGGACTCCTATGGACTCACATGCAAAGGAGGGCCAAGCACAGCTGCGAGGAGGACCAAGCTCAAGGAGCAGGCACAGCCACGAAGAGGACCAAGCTCAAGGAGCATGCAGATGGTTACCACTCAGGGGCTCGAGAGGCAAGAGCCAAAGGAACTGTCACTGATCAAAGGAGGAGGAGCAGTGTCGAAGGAGTTGACACCAGGTCATGAGGAGGAGGAGCAGTGTCGAAGGAGTCGACACAGCTCAAGAGGCACAGGGGTGCCAAGCAGGAGAGGCCCCTGAGCAGTACTCGATGAAGAAGGTACTCTCTGGAGAGAGAGCAGGAGCAGCATCGCTGGTGATGCTGAGAAGAGGTATATAACCATGCTTTCTCATCATCATAGGTCGAGTGGATCCTCATCCACTCTACTCACCATAACTAGTTATCACTTCAGCATAAGTATATATTAGTTTCAGTCAGCTTAGCAGCAATCCATCAAAGGTTGCTCCTCATCGTAGTGTGTGTGTTGTATCACCACTACCTGACGTCCGAAGGCGCCCATAGCAGGTTAGCAGTCCGGATCAAGATAGAACCAAAGGCAGTAGTCCACTGCGGTCCGGGGATCACTTCAAGCATCAAGTCAACACACTGGACACTCGTGTTGACACCACCAACCTTATCACCAACACCATCAACCTCATTATCATCGACATCACCAATCTCATCACCAACACCATCACCCTCATCATCATCAACACTCACACCAGACCTTGGTGTCATCATAACATTGATATTGATCGTGCCGAGCTACCCCTGAACGGAGTGTCCACAGAGGTCAGCCGAAACCTACAATAGTATATACAACGAACACCACCTGCTGTCACTGCACAACTTGATAGTCACCGATACCGAGACAATAGCTGTCGCACAGTTTGATAGTCACCGAGTATCTCGACAGACCGACCTGGGTTTCAGGTGCGAGACCCCTGACATTAGAGTGGATTGTTCAAGCAGCTCCTCACGATCACCATGACGGACCCAGACCTCAACAATAAGCTCGATAGACTACTCACTCTATTGGAAGCACAGCTAGAGCTTACCAGACAGGGTCATCGAGAGGAACAATTACAACGAGCTCAACTGAGCAGGGAGGAGACAATGGACCTCTCTCACTCAGAAGACCAAGCAGGAGGAGGAGATGAGTCTATGATAGGAGACCCACATACTCCTACTCCGGCTCCATGACCAAGACGATCAGTCTCATTCAACCTGGATGAGCAGGAGGACATCAACTACAAGAAGTATGCTTCACCTACTGGGCCAAGATATGTCAAGACTAAGCTGGACCCCTACAGCAGGACTAGGACAGACCCTTACCCCCTGGACCACGAGGAGGATACCAGCATCATGGCAGAGCTTAACCGGTCAAAGCCCATCGCCACCCCCTTTCCAAAGTTCAATCCCCGAGACATGGAGATCTTCATTCTAGAAGCTGAAGCATGGTTTAAGTTCAACCAGGTGTATGAGCAGTCTAGGATGATCAATCACATGGGTGCTCAACTGGAAGGGACAGCCAGAGAGTGGTGGACCTCCAAGCTCCGTATTGATAGAGCTAGAGAAGGAAGGTTGTTCAATGATTGGCACTACTTCACAGAGCGACTGACAGAACAGTTCAACCCATGCAATGCTAGGATGGAGGCATACAACAAGCTGTTGGCTCTCAGACTCACAAGTGATGCTCCTGGTGCCGCCACACATCATGTAGAGTGGTTCAGAGACTTGGAGGGACAGGTCAACCTAGATGACAACGAGCTAGTGATTGATCTCTTCAGAGGAAGTCTCACTCGCAGCATACAGGAGAAGTTCGAGAGGAATCCACCTGGGAAGAGATGGGAGTGGTACCGAGAGGTTGAGGAGATCGATCGACAGAGGATGCTACTACAGCAGTCCTCGGCTAGACACTCACTCCCAAATGCCACATCACCTCCACTAAGAACTGGGTCTCGGCCAAATCAAAGTTCGATCCCCATCCGACAACCCACTCAACCTTATCCAGCTTGATCACCATCACAAGCAACTACACAAGCAACTATACAAAACCTAAACCGACCCCTTCCTCATCATCCCACCCAACCCTTGAAGCAAGGAAGCCCTGCTCCATCAGGTATCAACACCTGTCATGTATGCAAGGGTATCGGCCATTGGGCCAGAGACTGCCCCAGCAGGAGGGTAGACCCTCTTAGCTCTC